GTTGTTAGGGAGGATTATTTCCGTTAGAAGTTGTCTTGCCATATTCGGGAGAGCTAATTCGATGGTTTCATTGGAGGATATTGTTTTCGTGTGCTTTGACTTGTTTAATGTTTGGTTGGTTGATTTTTTAATTTGTTTTACGACGAACTATTCCTGCTATATGACGGCGGTCTGTAAATAATCGAGTCTGGACCAGACAATCCAGTGATTGACATCATGAGAATCTATCCACGCAATTGGGATACGATGACATGCTTCAACCAAGTCAGCGAGCCCGATCACCCGATCCCATGACGGCAAGCATGGGTTACTGAAGGCCTATTCTTCCCCGGATCTTCACGGGTCACTTGTTCAGTGGCAAAAATAATTTTCTATGAGATTTGAAAAGAGAATAATGCCGCGTATCATCTTGCTGGTACTTTCATGAATCATTCTCTTCGGAACACCGTTTCTTCAAACAAGAAATTTGTTTCGAGAAGTATTGTTCATGGTCTGAGTGCTGACTCTCTCGGACACAGTTACGTTTGTGATAGGGTGACGATCCTGAAACTAATGGTACTTGCGAGACGAGCACTTTATTTCGATGAGGTTACCAAGGTCATGCATTTCAGACGGTAGGAAAACATAAACAGAAAATGCCCCTGCCCCTTTGAAGCCAATATCGGCGTTTGAAGAGGAATTCAGTTGGGTCTTTATTCATTGTATTGGTCTCTTCCCTAAAACATAGCCCGATACTCGTTTTTGTTAATAAGCATGGGCACTTCAACCAGATTCTCAGAAGCCATTCCATAGACGAAAAGTACTGCCAGTTATCGTTTTTCACTGTGGTTGGCTTACTCAGAGTATTTTCATCAAGAGTCGAGTTTCTTGTGAGGGCTGAGGCAGCAGATCATGTAGGCGTTGTGAGTCACAAAATGCACTGGAGAGATTTCATCAGACTCTAAGAAATATTATCAGGATTTACTGCTTTGAATCTGGGAAAGAGTGGGATTCAGTTCTTTGAGTTTGTCTTTGTTCTCGTGATTAGGGGGCCACTTAAGTATTTGCAAGAGCAGTCGCGTAATCACCATGCAATTTGGATTTACTAGAGTATGTGTCTACTTTCCGAAATAAAATTCTGAGGGCTACTGAAGTTGCCATGGAAATTCTGCAGTCATCGCAGTACAAAATGAAAGCTAGCTGTGAGACAAACACGTGGGGGGGGGGGGGGGGGGGGGGGGGGGGGGTTTGCTGGGACATTGTAGCTCTATCAATAGGGTATTCGTTTTGTTACCCATCACTACTCACATTTCAGCTAGTTACCATTGTTCTCAATGTGATTGATATGTGCAGCTGACTCTATTGTCCAAACTCAGCGCCGACGAAAACAAAAACGGTTGTGTCACTTAGATTTAATAAAGAAATTTCGTGTCAGGTCTAAAAAAAATATCACCACAAATTATTGTTTCTGTCTCTCCTGTTGAATCTGTATCAGATGACTGCAATCCTACAGTGAGCATGTGGAAAGTATTTTGGATGAAAAGACCAGCCCTGGCCGTAAAAAGTCTGAGGTGTTCAGCGATCTTGATGTGACATGAGCTCAACTATTCAGTTGTTCCCTGATCTGACTAGTCGTACCGTTAGTCATTACATACATGTAGATATAAGTGATGTATTGCCTTTGAAACAGCATCACTATTACATGAACTCATTCAAGTTGGAGCATCTCCGACAAGAAGTCAAGTATAATTTAAGTTCGAGAACGACATCATCGACATCGGACATTGATTAGAGTCCACCACGCATCCTGTTACCCAAGCCCGACAACACCTCTCTGCAACACAATTCTGTTAATTACCTACGTGGCGGTATGAACAAAGGCATATTGCCGTAATTAATTTCAATAATCGGGATTATATTGATCAGATTACCACAGTCTGTTTAACCTGGTCAGCTCCGGCTCATGGTGGCCTTCGAGAGAGGGGCTTCTTTTTGTAGGTTACAGGAGGTGAGGTGAGGTGAGGTGAAATTGGGTTTAACGTCGCGTCCAAGATTATTGCACTTATATAGCGACGTGCATGCATGTGTGTGTGTGTGTGTGTGTGGCTGCTTGTACTAGTCCGGACTAATGCCGATTTAAAGTGCTAGCCCACTGAGATACAATGCCGCAGTTTAGCATGAATACCCCACTCAGACACAGTATACTGACTCCGAGCCGACCAGTCCTTGTTTTAGCCCCTTAATGCCGAGCGCCAGACAGGGTAACAACAAGTACCATCTTTTAACGTCTTTTGGTATGACGCGGCCGGGGATCGAACCCCGGACCTTCCGCTCTCCGGGCGGTCGCTCTACCACTAGACCACGGAGGCGGTAGGTTGCAGGAGGATGCGAGTGATGACGAATGCCGTTTGAATACAAACACTGACGCTATTGGATATGCCTCTTTTTATTCAATTAACATAAGATTCTTTAGGTCGTCTCTTGAGTTGGGGAAGTTCATGTGTAAGTCAATTCCAAATAATACACTATTATCACGCATTTATCAATCTCATATTTAAAGTGACAGCGTTAAACAGTAAAATGTTGCGCTGAATGTCTATTCATGTGACGTCATTGAAGTTATTGAATTGGACTTCAGTGATCGACCCAATGTGAAACTGATTCAGATGGCACTAGCCATTGCTGGAACGCATGCCACTGAGTGCCTATCAACCATAGCCAACGCACAGAAGACGACGCTGGGACATATTTCATATGACACGTCTGATCAGAAAAAAAGGCTGTTGCAACCCACAACGATGGAAGATGCAAGGAACCTTTTTTAGACTGCCAGTGTTGCGGATACCAGTTCTGTCACTCACACACAAGAGGTTGGACGGCAATACTTCCGTGGCGAGGTGACAGCCGTAGCCGACGCCACGACAAACCGTACAATCAGTCCGCTTCTGTCGATGATCTCGCCCGGTCTCTCTCTCTCTCTCTCTCTCTCTCTCTCTCTCTCTCTCTGATTGCGCATCTCAGCTAGGTTTTGTTGATTAATGTAATACATAACGTGGAACAAGATCCGTGACCATTGGACATGTCCCTACGTACAATCCGTCCGCTCCCGTCGATGATAGCGGCCGATGTCTCTGATTGCGCATCTCAGCCAGGTTTTGGCCATGGTGATTAAGTATTAAATAACACAAGATCAGTCGACGTAAGGAGGTGCTAAGGGTCCGACCATCTCATTGATCTGTTGATAGTCGGGGTGGCGGGGGATGCTGGGACTTTGTCTGGAGATAAGTTAATTTTCAGCTACAGGTGCAAAACCAGACATTTTGTTTATTTTAATTGTGACCCTGAAGATTTTTTCAAGAAAAAGACATTGTCACAATGTAATTTGTAAATGAATTGCAGAGTGTAATGGGAAAATCTATTTTTTCTATAAATTCCCAGTGTTGAAACTTATTTCAACCATTGCTAACATTCAAATAACCTCAGCAGCTAAAATGTTTTATTAAGGATGTTCAAACACTCGATGCCGAACTGTCAGAGAACTGCGTGAGTCGCCCCAACGCGATGCACATGAAATTTTGGCACGTGCAACTAGCGCTGTGGCGACTCGGGGTATGAAGTGAACGTCCCGGGGCAAGTTTAAAATTCATACTGGACAAATTCGAGCACATATATTAATCAAATAAATATCATTTGGCCTTGTGGACGGGCCTATTATGAGCTAACAATGGTTCTAAAACCGAGTTACTTACTGACTAAGTAACCATTATACTTACGAGACACATACGTATACATATAAAGTAGACAAAAGATTATCAAGCAAGGCAACGGTATGAGGATGTATACCGCAAAACGTCGCTATTACAGTATGATAAAGACGTTGTCTACTTTTATCTACTTTGACATCCGTCAGCTTCTAAGAAATGCCAATCAAGTGTGCGTGCGTGCGTGCGTGCGTGCGTGCGTGCGTGCGTGCGTGCTTGTATATATATGTGTGTGTGTGCGCGCGTAGATATCAAGTTCGAATTCAATGTCGTAAGCGGATGTCTTAATCTTCCAATACGTCATTGATCTGTTACGAGACTATATACATGTAACGTCATTTTGCCACAACATCGCTTGAAAGACCTACGTCAGTAGTCAGTAAAACAGTATTCTTTGCGAGCACAGAAATGGAGTTGTTGTTTAGATCTAATACATTCACCTAACTTGAGTACCTTCAAATTTATGCCTCACGTTCTCCACTTTTATACACATTTTCTCATTTATTGTTAAGTGGTTTTATGGCGTTTTGACGTGGTAATTATGCGTATGTCGAAACATTTAACTTAACCCATGAACCTATTAGTTTCGTGAGTGAGTGGGTATGGTTTTACGCCGCTTTTAGCAATATTCCTACAATATCACGGCGGGGGACACAAGGAATGGGCTTCACACATTGTACCCATGTCAGGAATCGAACCTGGGTCTTCGGCGTGACGAGCGAACGCTTTAACCACTAGGCTACCCGACCGCCCCTATTAGTTTCGAGGTAACCCAAATATCCCTAGGGATAGTATAATAAAGTGTATCTTATCTTTTCAGAACATGTTATGATTGGAATCAGAATAACAATGTCTACTGTTACTTAGTAAATTCACTTTTGAACTACCGCAACTGGTGGTACGTTCATTATTTGTTCATTAAAAAAATGTTTTAACGTAACTGACTGATCCAATACACGATTAACATTATTCATATATATTGCTATAGTACCTATTGCTATTTAAGTTTGAAATCAAAATGACCATTTAATATTGAAAACAAATTAAACAGTGAATAATATAAAAGATTTCATCAGGAGACCGATAAAAATAGGAAATATCCGTTCTAGCTTTCCTCGCCATTAATGCAACAGGTGGGTCCTGTCGCCTCCCGCTCATTTAATATAGCGGCGATCTAACGATTTTATTGTCACGGCAGATAACGCAGGCTTGCTATAAAACGCGATCGCTTTGGAGTCCCAGGCAGTTGTGATTGAGACTACGGGAGCGTTATGAGACGTGCTTCCAGTGGCAGTTGCTGCTGTCTCTATGAGAACCATCTTCTACATGCTGTCTGGCAATTGGAGGCAGTGCATGCCTTCTCATATAATGATCCTGAAACTTGCGGGCTGGATTAGAGGAGTACTGTGGAGCCTACTTTTGGGTAAGTACCATTATCCTTTGATGAGATCTTTAAGATGAATATGTAATGACCTCATTAAAATAAACAGTGAAGCTACCTTTTTTAAGAGTTGAGTAAAATATAATAATAAAAAAATTTTTTTTTATGTTTCTTGTTTAAAACCTAAACTGCGAACTGTGCCCAAATATTTGGATGTTTGTGGATGCATGAACGAAAAACTCTTTTGAATTATTCAATCCATGTACTGTAATTCCGATGTAACATAGACAAAGTGAGACTTTGACTGTATCAATATCGACAATACGTCGTATTAGCTAGGGGCGATGGAAACAAGTGATGTCTAACTAAATAAAACCAAGTGTTTTCAATATTGTATGACAATTATTTTCAAGCTCTGTCTGTTTTGTTAAACAAAATGCCTTTTTCCATTTGTTTTGCTTTTACAATTGAGCAAAATGTCTGATAATAACTTATTAGAATTGAAACACGTCACTGGAAGCAAGTCTAAAAGAACGTATCGTATACGTTTAATCTTGTATGCACAGATAAGCGTCAATGTTCATATCACCCTTGAAAAGGAGCCCAAACCAATAAAAGCTCTGTCTGTTTTGTTAAACAAAATGCTTTGTTTAATTTGTTTTGCTTTTACAATTGAGCAAAATGTCTGATAACAACTTATTAGAATGGAAACACGTCACTGGAAGCAAGTCTAAAAGGACGTATCGTATATGTTTAATCTTGTATGCACAGATAAGCGTCAATGTTCATATCACCCTTGAAAAGGAGCCCAAACCAATGTATAGCATATTGGCCACGATACGCGATGCGCTTTACGCAACGATTAAAAAGCGTGAACCGAGACTTGTGCTCCTCTCCTCTACATAAAGCATTCGTTATGACGAATAACGATACGACAAAACTACGGACATGATCCTAGTGGTATACAGTAAATTACGGTTATAACGAACTACGGTAATACGGTCCCTTTAAGGGACCACTGATTTTAGTTCGTAATAACCGTAGTTCGTTTTAAGCACATATACATCATAATTACAGCAATGGGCAGGGCCAAAGAACAGTTCGTTATATCCGTCAGTTGGTTATAAGCGTGTTCCTTATGAACGTAGTTTACTGTATTCGGAAAATAATGTATTTTGGACTCTCAGTGAGTCAGCCATGAGGCACGGGGCTTTAAAAACATATTAAGTTTGAACCATCACACGGAACCGGTATGTTAAAACATTACTTGGTAGTCGACCGCCGTGTACGTTGTTGTGATAGAATCCACGTCACATACGTAAACACACGAAACAATACACAGACACTCACACATGCACAGGTAACTCCGGATCATTACAAGTACAAACACCGTTATGTCGAACATTGATGTGTCGAACTTACGTTTGACTCGAAGTACATTTGGTCCCTGCTTATTCCTTCTTTATCAATCCTTTTGGGTTGTGTCGAACCTCGGATAACTCGAAATATTTACGTAGGTCCCTTCAACTTCGACACAACGGTGTTTTACTGTATGTGTAGTGTCATGGAGCTGGACAAACTTCAAGTGTAATATTGAATGCATTCCTAAAAAATGACTTCTCGATTTTGCATTTTGGTATAAGTTATGGAAATCTTTTTCGATGCATGCCAAATTAAAGCTAACCTACTGACGACAGTGATATCCCAAGGGAATTCTGAACTAGAGTTGGCCCGAAGCAATCAAAGCTGGTCGTAAGAGGCGACTAAAAGGATCGGGTGGTCAGGTTCGGTGACTTGGTTAATTGCGTGTCATTGTAAAGGTATGGAGTGTTGCCCACAATGTAAATCACTGGATTATCTGGTCTAGACTGGTTCATTTATAGTCCGCCGGCATATAGCTGGATTGTTGCTGATTGTCTCGTTGAACAACAGAAAGAAAAAACACTGCAATGGTGTTGTATGGGAAAATACATTTTGAACAGTGACACATACCTAATCTAACCCACACAAAACTCAGCTGGGACAAAAACAGAATTGGATTGATTTGCAATGGTCTGCTTTCCATATAATACCATTATTTACCATATCTGACATTTCAAGGTACAAAGAAATGGGTTAACAAATTGCACTAAATTCGAATTCGAATTCGCTTTGTAGAGGTGTTAGAAAACTTGAGTGTGGGCTCGAATCCCGGTCCGCCCCGATCGAGTTTCTAGGTTTGTCAGTACCATACCCGTGCTCGTGGGTTTCCCCAAAACTGTTAAACGTCTGAGACCTGCATCCCTTCGGCCTTACCCCACCCATCGAGCTGACACGCCGTGATAGTTGAAGCTGAAATACTGTTCAAAGCGGCGTTAATTAACATCCATTTCAATTCAGAAATTCGTTGCTGTTCTGGCGCATTAACCAGTATCATACCAACTTCGATTCCATTCATACGAGTCATATTGTGAACCATTTGAGCATTGACTTTTACTTCGTGTGAGTTCATCGAGTATGAACGTTCATAGAGTATGGGCCAATGTATGAGCGTATGTATGTTCAGATTGTTCTGAACTCTGTTGCCGTTTAGTAACAACAAACAGATGTAAATAGTATCATCAAATAAATTGAAATGTTTGCGAAGAACTGTTTCCAAATCAGTCGGCCTGACCGTGCGTCGTAATCCATTTACTTCCAACACAGGACGCTCAACGTGACGGAGAAGTTTTCCAATGTTGTCAATGAAGGCGATTAGGTGTTTGTCATTAGTGATCAACTGGTCGATCATTCAGAGGTAATTATGTCGACGTGTCGAATAGATACTGAAGTTGGTTGGTTTGTTGTTTAACGCCACACTCAGCAATATTCCAGCTATATGACGGCGGTCTGAGTCTATCTGATCAGAAACAACGCACGCTTCTGTATTTACTCGTGCCTGGGAATTTCAAGTAGTTGCTACTGGAACACGGAAGCGAAACGTCATTTCAAGAATTCGGTTTCTGTCAAAATGTCTTTCAATCGCTTATGATAGTCAGTTGCGCGCCATGTGATCTGCCTCATGTCTATTGGAACAACCATATATCGCACAAAAATGAAATAAAAAGTATAACACAATAAGATAATTAAAAACAGAGATACAATGGGATGTTTTTATTTTCAGTGATTCCACTCATATACATCTTGACACGATCAATCGCTTGTTGGTCGAGGCGTGGATGGGTGTTAGTCTGGGTATTTCCGCGATCAACTGCTATTTAATCTAACGAGGTTTGCCAAATATCTAGATGGAGCACACGCTCTTCAAAATAAGAATGTATTGCACAGATGTATGGCTATTTAAAGCCTGATGATGATTAAAGTGTACAGCAGTTGGATGAGCGACCACCGAGGACACCCAACACTGACCTGCCACTTGGGGCCAATAGCGTGACGGAAAATCACGATCGTTTCCCAAACTGTTTCTACGGGAGCGCATTATTTCCAAATAATGCTCCGTGGGACCTGGACAGCATTTCCTCATCACAACGACAGACGCGTCCATCTCCCAATAGCCCACTGGATTACCTTGGCAGCATGTGCTGGTCCTATTATTTAACGTCCGGGAACGCCCGGAAACGTCCGGTGAAGTCCGGAAACGTCCGGGAGTTTAATATAACAGTGCAGTCAGCCAATAAAACATGTATTTCTCAGTTTTGTAAGATCGTGAGAATATCAACTGGCGTTCAGTGTTAGTAGAACACACAGCAAAATAAAAACAAACAAAAATGAGTAACAAGGTAAAAAAAATCTAATAGGCCATAAAGTGTTTATTTTTTCCAACAAAGCGGACGAAATGGTAATTACAGACAAATTTGTTTTAAAAATGTTTGTTTGTTTGTTTGTTTGTTTAACGCCACAGTTAGCAATATTCCAGCTGTATGACGGCGGTCTGTAAATTATCCAATCTGGACCAGACAATCCAATCAACCAAGTCAACGAACCTGACCACCCAATCTGTTAGTCGCCTCTTACAAGCATAGTCGCCTCTTACGACAAGCATGGGTTGCTGAAGACGATGTTTACGGGTCGTATGTGAAGTTTGTTGTTTTGTTTTTTTCGCACTCAGCAATATTTCAGCTATATGACGGCGGTCTGTAAATAATCCAGTCTGGACCAGACAATCCAATCAACCAAGTCAGCGAACCTGACCACCCAATCTGTTAGTCGCCTCTTACAAGCATAGTCGCCTCTTAAGACGACAAGCATGGGTTGCTGAAGACGATGTTTACGGGTCGTATGTTTAGTTTGTTGTTGTTGTTTTTTCGCACTCCGCAATATTTCAGCTATATGACGGCGGTCTGTAAATAATCCAGTCTGGACCAAACAATCCAATCAACCAAGTCAACGAACCTGACCACCCAATCTGTTAGTCGCCTCTTACAAGCATAGTCGCCTCTTACGACAAGCATGGGTTGCTGAAGACGATGTTTACGGGTCGTATGTTTAGTTTGTTGTTGTTGTTTTTTCGCACTCCGCAATATTTCAGCTATATGACGGCGGTCTGTAAATAATCCAGTCTGGACCAGACAATCCAATCAACCAAGTCAGCGAACCTGACCACCCGGTCCTGTTACTCGCCTCTTAAGTATCATTCTCCCGGACGCTCCCTGGCCTTGCCCGGACGCTACCGGAGGCTTCCGGACGTTTCCGGACGACCCCGGGCGTGATGTAGTAGGACCGGCATGTGCATGTCTTGCCAGCAGCTGCCTTGCCTTATCGCCCTTTCTATGACGAACATTCTCGCATTTCGTTAAACCTACACTAACCCCCGGATCCATTCCCGTGGTTCTCGCAATCTCAAATTACCCCTCAACGTGTGGACTCAACATGTCAATCATAAAACGTTATGAAAGCTTAACAGGGGCAGTGAATGCTGTAACCTATACAGTATTACAAACCCATCACTTTGAGTACGCAGATAACAAAATCTGTTGTTTGGACAATACCTGAACGTTTAAATCCCCGAAATACCTTTCAAGGTCAGTCTTAATATGTTCTGTGTACCGTTTTCAGTAAATCTT